TGGCCATGGAGGAGTCGGGGCCGCAGTTTACTTGGCTGATAGAGCACACTCAGACATGCTTACCTCGTGAAGAGTGTGAATGAAAAATAGTGAGGAAGGCTCCCCCCCTGCCTGCCCTTAGGCAGACGGGGAGAATCGTTTCGCCCTGTATGGGGCTCACTGCGCACCATGTTTCCCGGGTCCCTAAGGAGCATGGGAAGCCATAATGGCCCGTCCACACAGCGGCGTGCAGTGTCGCTTGCCAGCGGGCATGTCTGAAGCTAGACCAACAACCAATCACCTGAATCTCCCGCCCTGGACACACAAGCAGCGGTTTGATTGGCTAGAGCTGGTACTGGCATATGATTCGATTGGCTGACGCTTCCGTCGAAGCTTCAAAAGTAGAACATTGCTACGCTTTGCTCCCACAATGCAGTTTGGCGATGCGTGACGTCACCCCATTCAAAGTGAATGGGCAGAAGCGTTGAAGCTTCAACGCACGCCACTGTGTGGACGGGCCGTTAGTGCATTATGTCCAGATACCTACTGACCCACAGCCCGCCTCCCCCCCTCACCGGTCCTGTGTTGCCCCAGCAAGCACAGACGGTGAAAAGGAGCCAGACATGTCCATGAGATAAAACCTTATGAAGGGGCCTGGCGTGGACCAAGACGCCGCTGTGCATATGTCCTCCACACTCACGCCGCTAAATAAGGCTGTTGACAAAGCCTAGCTTGTGTAGAGTGCGCACGGCACGGACCCCCGCGGGGAAGGCTCTCCCCGCCTGACCGTAGGCATGTGCAATGAATGCACTCGCAGAGCAATCCTGCCAGGCGTTTCTTGGACAGAGCTTTACCGGCCACACCCCCCTGAAGCACACAAACAGCTGTTCAGTGCGCCTAATGACAGCCGTGCGCTCCACATAACATGCCAGCGCACGTAACGGGCAGAGGAGGTGCAGTTTAGCCTCCCTGTCCACAATATGGGGTGGAAGACTAAAGCCGCCATAGTCCTTGACCTGAACGAACTCCTTAAGTTCTTGGGAACAAAGGAGGTGTTCGGTCTGAGTGTTGCCCTGCTACGGTCACCCCGGATCCACAGGCAACTCGGGTGTACCGACAGAGCGGTCAGTTCGGACTGTTTTTAATGACAGCGCCTTCAGGGAGGAGAGCTCCAGAGGCTCAAATGGTTCTGTGACCAGAGCCTCGAGCACCAACGTTGGAAAAGTGTGAGTGTTACAAAGTGATGTTACAGAAGCAAACAAAGGAGTCCAATGGTGGCGTTTCAGGCAGGGGGGAAATGAAAAGAGAGAAACTCCCTCCGGGGATGAACTTTGTTCTTTTTAGCTTTTGCAGACCTTTTACAAAACGTGTATAACACGTACAATACAGGAAAGGGAAAACCCCCAAAAGCATAATAGGGCCTCTTTAAGATTTAACATAACTATATATAACATGTTGTTTTATTAGAATTGTTTTCTCAAATTAAAGGAAATGAACTCAATGTGAGCAAAGGTTTACTTTCTAATGTTTTAATGATATAGAAAAGCATAAATGATATGTCTACCTTAAAATGTAGCTACCAGTAACCAATGACTTAGATGACATTCTGTTGATGTGTGTTAGTGAGTGAAGCCACTGTGTGTCTGTAATGCGTGACCAGCCTCCAGTCAGAGAGAGAGAGAGAGAGAGAGAGAGAGAGAGAGAGAGAGAGAGAGAGAGACTGGTTGATCAGGTTAAGCAGAGACGCATGCTGCTCTGATTCATATCTGTTCGCACTTTGAATGACTCCAACACTTGTTACTTTTAAGCTATGACTGGGATAGTAAAGATATTAATAAAGAACAATAGAAAAGCTACTGTAATAGATTTAATGTTATTATTTTAACACCCCAAGGACATTACAATTGTTCTTTTCTATTTTCTTAGCATGTAGAAAAAGGAGGCATTTTACACTGCTAATTGTGTTTTGTTAAGCATATACACTAGTGAATCGGCCAACCACACATGCAAAGCAACGTCCAGTCATCAACATAGAGATACAGAGAAAATACAGATATGGAAAGTGGACATGTCTTTACCCAATTTAATCCGTGTCATGTTGTTCTGGTGGGCAGTAGACTGCAGTAATTCCAGGCTTTCTCCTGGTAGTCATGAAATACAATTGAAGGTGCTTCTTTTCCCCTGTTTATAGGACAGCAGCACATACAGGACACACCCACTACCGGTCTACCTTTCTGTATCCCTCCTCCAGGTGATCCCAAGTGATTACAACATGACAAGTGTGTGTATGGTATCTGCACATTGGTTTGATTGTGTCCTGTGTGGGATCTGAATAACTAGTGTGTGAGAGGTGTAGCCTAAGGCCAAGTAGTAAATACAATACAAGGATACATGTTAAAGTATATATGTTCGGTTTGATGCTAAATGAAACTTGCATCAAACTGCCGCTACAAGCAGTTGAGGATGCATTACTGGGCAAATAATAAAGGGCTTTCTTAATATTGACTTTCGACTAACAAGGTTCTTCTACCTTTTTGAGAGAGAGAAAGGGTCAAACAGGATATTTTATATGGGGTAGTGAGAAAGAAGATGGAAGCATAACAATAAGTCAGGAATAAGAATACTGTAATATTATTTATGTGGATACCAGCTCACAGAGAGATTCATTGAAATGAAATTGTGGACACATTAGCCAAGCAGTCAAAACAAACAAGATGACATCCTGGACATTAGACAGTAAATCTGAAGCAAAATTGGGATACAGAAAATAAAAAGCATCTTCAATATATGAGACTAAATAAAGCACTGCATTTAATAACATCACTCAGGATTATGTAAGCACTTTAGTGGAGCATGCCATTCAGCACTACTATCTAGACTATCTAAAACAAATACAAAAACATTAAAGAAAGACATCAGGAAGACTTAAACATGTCTTGGACATTGGGTTAGGGAAACAATTAAAACATTTTAAAATAAAAATTAAGCAGGGCAAGATAGTAATATTTTTACCAAAATGTTGTTATTTATTTTAATTGGTTATTATATTAATAATTTAGTTGAGTTGTACACCTACTGGGTTGGTCCCCACCCCAACCCAGTAGGTGGCAGTAATGCACCTTATCGCTTCATGTGCGGAACCTTCGCTGTTTGCTAGTCGTGCTCTACGGACCCGTTTCAGTGTAACTCCACGATGGCAGCTCTGGTGAAAACACATGTGCAGTTGTCTGGTAGGTTTTTCTCTATACAGTTTAATATTGTTGCGTCTCAAAACTAGGACAAGGGTTTTTTTTCACACCTTATTTTAATGTTATAAAGATAGTAGCTAGCTGACGTAACTTCCTTAGCTGTTAGAAGCATAGGTTAGAAGCAAACATGCTGCACAGCTAGCTTAGCATTAGCCCTGTTTCTGTTGGTTAGCTACCCAGTTTAAATATAACTGAAGCCGTGCTCAATGATATTTGTTGTTATTAAAAAAAAAAGGAAAAACAGCACTGTGTTGTGTGTAGTGTGTTTCAGACTAGCTAAAAAAAACCTGTCACAGGAGAAAGAGTTTATTGAATACCGTTAACGTAAACTAATGTAGTGTGCTGTTCACTTACACTTGCATTACAATCACTCACAACAAACCTCTTTCCATACTCTTACAATACACTTTGTTACAGTTGTCAGAAAACCCTTATGGTTTGGGTGCTTTTCTGATAAATGTTGACATCGCAGAGCAGCACGGAAACTGTAGTTTCACTTTAAATGTAGCTGTTGATTTTAGGGTTAGGTTTGAGTGCTAGACAACAGACATAATATTTAACTTATATTAAGCCGAAGTTTCACATGTTTGAGTGTCAAGGGGTTTTCTTCAAAGCAAACTATCAAGAACAATGTATATATACAATGTGTATTTCTTATATATATAATGTATATACGAAATGAATAAATGCTGTAGCAGTGCTCAATATATAAGAAAACACGGCGCTGAGGTATTTGATACAGTAATCTAATACATTACTTATTTTACCTGCACTAAAGATATTCTAGTATCAGTGTAGTGATAGCTTTCGCAGTAATAATAATATAAATAATAATGTGTATTTTTGGTGTCCTCAGCGGACGATGCACAGCCTGAGTCAGAGGAAAACGAGGAGCAGAGTGATTCTGAAGAAGGGAGCAATGATGGAGAGAGTGATGGAGGAGAAAATGACCAGGATGAGGCAGAGGATGAAGATGAGGAAGGAGGAGAGGGTGAGGAAGGAGGTGACGGAAACGCCAATGCCGGGTGGGCAGAGGCCATGGCAAAGATCCTGGGGAAGAAGACCACGGAGACAAAAAGCATCATCCTGGTGAAGAACAAGGAGCTGGACAAGATGAAGGAGAAGGAGAAAAAGGAGCTGCTGGAGAGAAGGAAACAGGTATCAGGGTGCACATTTTGAAACTCCTCCATGTTGTCTGTTTATTCTGTCATCCCATTACTAACATCTGAATTATTTTAATGAAAGAAGTCCAAGGGTCTGTCTGCCTGAATGCTGAGTCACCTACGGCTCTTTATGTTTTGCTCCTATTATGAACACATTTTGATTTTATTGTCATAAATGAAATGTTGTAAGTGTATCCACACAAACGTCGCCCTTACGAACCAGACCTCTTTGCCACATTTAGATCCTACTGCTCTGAATTCATTGTGTCTAAGGATGCAACGATGGAAGTTTCCAATGTTAATGTTTTAAATAATGATGAACAAAATCCGGAGTCCACATGTGATTTTGAAATATTAGAACACTGACCCTTACTTTCAAGTAACTTGCAGCACGTCTTGCACCGTCGTTTGTGTTCCTCAAAGAGAGTATTCTGCAACTTGTCACTAAGATGCCAGGGTTAACGGATTTTCATTTGATTGATAGCGCCTTGCAGGATGCCATCGCATTGAGGCAAGATACTTCTGGTGAAACATTCCTGTGGGGTTTTACTTTTTACCTTGGTTCCCTCGTGTGTGTGTCTCATTCCAAATAAATGAGTTGCGTGTTTTCTCACAAGGCTACATGTGGAATGTGGCCTTAATAAGCACATTCATAGGTAAAAAGCCTTGAAGGAATTATTTTTAGGAATACATATGCCGACAGGTTGTGTTTTTCACAATATGACACATTTATGGAACTAATTGTGAGTTTGTTTTTGTGACCATCAGGTGGACAAGAAGAGAGCGTGGGAGAATTTGTGCAGGGAGAAGCCAGACCTGGTGAAGGACCGAGAGAATGAGAGAGCTATGCAGAGGATCGCTACCAGGTGAGGACTCTTTTTCTCTGAGGCTGCTTTGTTAAGCATTCTCAGAAAGCAAGTTGAATTCCTGACTCCAGTGTGTTCTCGTGCTCAGAGGGGTGGTGCAGCTGTTCAACGCTGTGAGGAAACACCAGAAGACGATAGATACAAAGGTGAAGGAAGTGGGAGGCTCGGAGAGGAAGAAGGCCAAGCTGCTGTCGTCTATCTCCAAGAAAGACTTCATCGATGTGCTGAGGAGGACGGACGGAGGCAGCGGATCAGCTGTCAAGGCTGAAAAGGAGGCGGTGAGTTCAATGATATCCTGTCCACGTGTTCCTTATGAGAGTTACATGTTAGGGTTGGGTATGGTTACACTTTTGGTTCTGCCTATCGATTTCAGTTTGTATTGGTTCTTGATTTTGGTTCTTTGAGAGGTTAAAAATAAGTTGCATTCCTATTTCACGGCAAATGTGTTGGTCTTATTAAATATAATGATTTAATATAAAAATCTATGCCTTGTTTTGGCCTTCACAAGTTCTAGGGATGCTCCGATCGATCGCCGATCGTTATTGGCCGATATTCTCTCTTAATAGTATGATCTGTGCTCTCTATAAAGGCCGATCAGGAGACCCGATCGGATGACGTGAAATACATTACACTTTTCTCTGTGCGCGGCAAAACAAGCTCACCAAAATGGCTTCTCCAGTCTGGCAGTTTTTTAAGGTGTCCGAAAAAGACAATAAAATAGCGGTATGCAACGTGTGTGAAGCAGAAATCCTGCAGCTCCACCCGCTGTGACGGACCGGTGAGCGGTTATTGACCTCTGCTTAGTCGGGTCACTCATTACTGGATCAGTGAGCTCCTCCCGTGTTATTCTCCAAAGTGAATAATGAACTTCATTTGAATGTAATAATGATGTTGTTTGTGGAAGCGCATCATTTATTGATTTTTTTTATCCGTATATATAAACTGAAGCAATATAAAAATGATCCCCATTAACTGAGTTTTAAACATCAGCATATATTACCGGTCATAGTCCGATAATTACCGGCTAACTCTGCTACACAATTCACAATACTTTAAATGGAAGATCCCCATAGCCCCCACCCACCCTATGATCGGATCGGTAACGACTGATTCCGGTGATCGGTCCCAAAAACCCTGATCGGAGCATCCCTAACAAGTTCTATATGTCGCAGTGTCCAACCATATACAGTCAGTGTCCAACACCTATCCTGCAGTAAATACCTGCCAGCTGCCGGATTGCTTTATTATTTGCAAAAGTATATGAATCATAATTTCATTTATAAAACATTCTAAACCCTGATTCACAAACTGACTTCTCCACTGAGTGCACTCAAGGTGTCGCTGTTGCCTCGTGAAGGCATCGGTGGGACAAGGCACAGCTAGAAGCACATAATAAACCATGTTTTTGTTTGTGTGTGTGCAGGCTGCAGAGGAGAAGCCCGCCTGGAGCGTCCTCACAGACGACTTCATGATGGGAGCCACCATGAAAGACTGGGACAAAGACAGTGATGGAGAGGAGGCCGATACAAACCAAGGAGCAGGGGGGGAGGACAGTGACTCAGACTGAAAGGACTGCAGGCTGTGATGCCTTCAGGGACATGTGTGTGGATCAGAGACCCTGACCCCTCCTGTCAGTGTGTGTGGACTGCACAGAGAAAAAACCTGGAATGTGTTTATACTGACTGTATAAACACGCAAATATTTGTATGGCCTCTCACACTATGATGTTTGTTGCTCAATATGTTGTGCAGAGAGGGGAATGATGAGTGACAGTACAACACTCTGAGGGACAATAACTGATGCATGGGAACAGGATGTGACGGGGAACTGAGAGAAGCTCCTTGCCATGTGGAGCTCCTGCCCTCCATCATACTCGGCATCAATTTGCTTCCATTTACATCATAATATTTTTTTATGAATTACCTTTGTTCTGTAAATATGAGTGTTTTGTAGAGTGCTGGCTAAATAAACAGCAAGTTCATGTGTCTATCAGTGCTCTGTGTTCTTCTGTAGACTGGACATGCGTCTGGTCATAGTAACATTATTTTTATAAAAATTATTTTTGGGGCTTCCCTTTTTCAGTCATTTTCACAAGATGACACAAACAAACAGTTACAGATTTAAATACAGAATAAGGGCAGTGTGTCCCCGCATTTTTACTGTTCAACTTCAATCTCTGAATTCTGACTTAAAGAGGACATATTGTTCTCATTTTTAACGTTCATATTTGTATGTTGTGTCTCCATGCTTTAATGTTGAAAAAGCTCTTTATTTTCTCACACTGCCTGTGCTGCAGCACCTCTTTTCACCCACTGGCCGTTTCTCAATGTCGAGTAAACCTGCTATTTCAAGTATACTACGTCATCGAGTGGCGCCGAAGGACTGTTTAAATGCCCAGCATTCGGCGCCACTCGATGACGTTGTATACTTGAAATAGTGGCTCTGCAGCAGGTATACTCGACATTGAGAACCGGCCTCTGTCTGAAACCAGAGCCCAGTCTGTTGTGATTTGTCAACGGCTTTGCGATGTGTTGGAAAGGTCCCGCCCTTTCATTTCACATACAATGTGTTGGAGCGCTTGCCAATAGAAGCGATAGTTACTTAGTGATGTCACTATGTTACGGAAGTAAACCAGGGAGTCCAATGGAGGCGTTTCGGGTCCTTAAAAAGACAATGCAAATGAATATTTCCTTAAATATTCCAGTTTAGTCGCCTGCCAAGTTTGACAAAAATATTTGGGTTAATCAAGTTTATCAACTGCCCTTGTCAGCTCAATTTTAAACGTGCTTTTTTTCTGCTGAAACGAATGCTATAGAGAAAAAAGTTCAGATCACCATGAAAATGAAAGCCATCTTCCCTCGGACCGCCCAGCAGGTACTGTGTTTCAGACTTCTCTGCATTAATATGATGTTTTATGTCTGTATGTTACGTTTGTTATGATTGCAATAAAATTACACTTCTAGTAACATTATACTGAAAGTGCAGCATAAAAATCGAACTAATCTGTGTATCATTTTTTTCCCGATTAAATCCAACCAGAGAATGTATGCAGGCGGCCCAAATAGGATACAAGTAGGCACATCAAATATATAGATTTGTTTCTTTTAAGGTGATTTTATTTATTTGATCTTTTATTTTATTTATTCCAGCTAGGCCCGACAACAATACAACCACTTGAAATGATCCTTTTTTTTCACCTTTCTGTCTTATTTTTTGTGTTTGTAATATTAATAAAATAAGTATTACTTATGTTTGTTATACACTTTTTATTTTGTAAATACTTCTGGTAGTAAATAATAAAAAATACAACTCATAACATTTGATTTACATGTTTTTTTCCATTCATAAATAAAAACAACCTTGAATAAAATAACCCAGAAAAATGACTGAGTAAATTACATCCTTTTACGGCCCTAAAGGTAATTTATAAACACGCAAAAAATAAAGAAATCTAGACCGCAAAATAATTAAACAAGCGAGTGTCTGTTTTTCCTGGCCAAGGTCAGGGTCCTTGAACACAACACGAGCCTAATCCACATCACGTGATATATGTCTCGTTGTGCCCGAGAGCACTGGAACGCCGCTCCGGCACTTCATAAATTGTAGGCATACCCATAAGGAGCCGTACACATGCCGCAGTTTTTGCGTGGCTGTGTCTTTAGTTGAAAGCACAGTGGCGATCTGTTCATCTGTCATACTGATCATACAGTCAATAACTTTGTTGTTATTAGCATCTGGTTAGCTAGCTATGCTAACGAATATAAGAAGCTTCTACAACCAGTGAGGTAAAGACACATCTTTCTATGATCGTTAAAAAAAACGGAGAATAAAGGAAAAACAGGTATAAAATACTATATGACAGTAAAAAAAAGAGTTGTTATTAATAAACAAGAATACAGTTTAACAGGGCAGTGATTTGTAAAAATATCCATAAATAAAAATAAATCTGCTTAGGCCTACAGTTCTGTTTCATATGGATGTTGAGAGAAGTATCCATAGAGCTCCTAATGTTGGTCTCAAGATTGATGCTTTTAACTTCAACATTTACAAACAAATCTTCCCGGGGGAGCATGCCCCCAGGAGGTTAGCTCCTCCCCCCAAACTTAAATCATGGGTAGGAAACTAAATACATTTGCACACATCTTGTGTCCATATAATTCTGTTTTGGTGGTCATGCCACAACCGTGCACGTGCATGCATGCGCGAGTCAGGGTAAGATATCTGGACTAAGAGGTTCCTTTTTCTTTGCACAGCATGAAAGAAAGGCAAAATAAATGGGATGGGATTTTAGCATTTTTAAGCAGAGGTCAATAATTTGTATGGCCCTAGGAGGATGTTGAACAAATTGAAATGGCCCTTGAGAGGAAAAAGATTCCCCACCCCTGTTTTAAAGAGTATAAAAACGGAGAAATGTTTCTGATGTTCTTAGTAAACAGTTTAGATGGCTTGCGTGGACGGGCTCTAAGACCCTGCGTCACCCCGCGAGGGTGGGGGGGGGGGCAGTGATCCGTTAGCCGCTGCAGCGCTGTCCCAATGGGCACAGCGAGCGCTCCTATTTACAATAAAAGCTCTGTAACGTGGATTGAAGGGGTTCCCTGCTCCCACACTGATGACCACAGCCTCGGAGTGAAGTGCGCGGAGGAGAAGCACGTGCGAACTTCAGTCCTTTATAACTCTACAACTCTGCTGTCCGCTTGGCACGCGCAAAGACGAGCCGTTCCCAGACTAGATGGGTTGAGGGAGACCCGTAAACACGCTATGCAGTCGCCCCGAAGGCAAACTCCGAGCTGGAAGACTTTTTCACACTGAAATCTCACTTCTTTATGGATTATTGATTTAAATAGCCCTACTTGTATTAAAGTTCACAACTAGGACACCAGGACTGCGTCTGGGTTCGGGTGCTTTTTTTAAGACCACTTTAGAATATGCCTAGAGGATAAAAAGCATCGTGTCGCACATCCACTCTCTGAATTCTGACGGATAGGAACCTGGCTGAGGTGCGGGTGGAGCGCGCGGATGCGGTGGAGGTGTGCGCAGACCCGCAGGCTGTGCGTCCCGCTGACCAGACCCTCAGCTGTCTCTAACTCTCCTCTTCTCCTCCATATGTCTCAGATGCTTCGGGTGGCCGCACGTCCCCCCACGGAACCATCCAGCTGACCCTTTACGCACTCCGGCTGTGAGATCACCGCCATCCAGGAATAGATCCTCGCTATCCTTTCTGACCGAATATCAGCTCTGTTTGTCTGCGGGGACAGTTGAATGGATTTTCAAGTACACTTTACAGAAACTGTGGAATTAGAAAAATACGATTTTTGGAGACATAAAGGCGCTTTACTTAGACTTTCGAACGAGAAATGCGTCTGCCTGGAGATATTTAAATCGCTTTGGTGAACTTTTTTCTGTTTTATTATTTGAGATTTGAAGAGGAGAAAATGAACCTGTGTGTGGTCAGTCTTCTCCTCACTCTGGATCTAGCCGCCGTGGCGCTCAGCCTGTCCACGTGCAGCACGCTGGACATGGATCAGTTCAAGAAGAAGCGCATCGAGGCCATCCGAGGGCAGATCCTGAGCAAGCTGAAGCTCAGCAGTCCGCCGGAGGACTTCCCCGAGCCCGAGGAGGTGTCCCGGGACATCCTCGCCATTTACAACAGCACGCGCGACCTTCTGCAGGAGAAGGCAAACGAGCGCGCGGCGACGTGCGAGCGCCAGCGCAGCGAGGAGGAGTACTACGCCAAGGAGGTGCACAAGATCGACATGCAGCCAGTATACCCGTCAGAGAGTAAGTGTGTGTGTGTGTGTGTGTGTGTGTGTGTGTGTGTGTGTGTGTGTGTGTGTGTGTGTGTGTGTGTGTGTGTGTGTGTGTGTCCAAGTGTGCATAACCTTATTTAATGACACACACCCACTGATGGTAGTGAAGTTTAAAGGGCTTAGGTCCCCAATAGGCTCAGCGTTTGGACGTGGTCACGTGTGTTTGTCATTGTTTTGGAAGACTCGTCCCATCGTGCTTGGCTGGAGGAGTGCAGGGGAAACAGCCAGATGTAAATGGGGTGGGGGACCGGGGGAGCGGTTATTTAGACATCAACAACATCTTCGCCTCTAACTCCGAGAACTGCAGGCCAGAACAACATCACATAAACCTGGTTTTGTGTTTTACCAGTTAAGCATAACATCTGTAGACTTGTTGGCAGTGTTGACACAATGTCCATGGCTGGATGATCTGTTGGGCAGGGGCAACATTGTTTTTGTTAACCTTTTAGTCTTCATCTTCATTTGTCCTCCTCTGGCATATAGTTTAAAGACTCTCCGTTATCTGAATGACTCGGACTTAATGTCACCAAATGTCTGCAGTGAAAACCAACTGCAGATTTTTTTTTTTAACTAAATCATCTACCTAGTACAAACACTTGTATAAGCCTTATTTTAATCATTAGGTCCTAAGGATTGTTTATTGCGCTAAATGCTTAATAAAGAGTTATATTCCCTTTCCATTTATTAGACTGAGCCAAGACCAACTGCAACGCTGTGGATTGGAGAAGGGGCTTAGCGAAAAGCAAGTGTTAATGCTCTATGGGCGCAGTTACGGGTACATTTGCTCTTGAGGGTCAGGCCATTTTTGGCTTCATACGCAACTTTCATAGGAATGAACTGTGTCCTGTCTCCGACACTGTATCCAGTTCTCTTTACATCCATAGTAGCCTACAGTCAGCAACAAGGGAGGACAATGAAGAGCTGGCCTGAGGACCTGTCAATCACAATAAAGGTACAGGGTCTGTGCAGATGGCAGTAATGCAACACCTATAGATTCCAACAGCCCTTATACTTAACAGAAGAGATGGGGCGAGGCAGGATGCGTTTTTACACTTAGCCGCTGCTGCATGTCACAAGGGTCTGCACATTACCAAGTCCATTTGTTCATAACAAAATAGGCATTTTTCATGAGAAATAGGCAAGTTACAGTGTATTTTGTAGAGATGTCTTAGAGCCGATA